CACACAGTTTAGAGTTAAACATAGCCACACAATTCAAGTCCTGTGATAATTTACTTACTGACAGGAGATTGCAATCTAAATTTGGAACATATAGCACAGAGTACAAAATTAACTTGGGTGTCAGTGCAATTATTCTTGTTCCTTCGACCTGGGAGCTAGAGGTATCAGCAATTTTAACTGAGAATTTACTTCTGTACTCATTATATTCCTTGAATAGTGAGATATCTCCAATCATATGATCGAAAGTACGTGAGTTAATAATCCATATTCTCTTTTTTGTGGAATAAATTAAGAAACCAGAAAAATTATATTTGTGAGCTGTAGAAGTATTACTGAGAACCAAATTGGGTGAAAATAATTTTTGGAGGAGGCTGATTTATTCAAGACTAAATAAGGAGCTTTCGGTAGAAACGACTGCAGTGGATCTCTCCTCTGTTGAGACAAAATTGCCCCGATGAATTTCCTCCATTTTCTGCTATGGTGTTTTCTTCTTCTCAGCCGATTTCCTGTGAAGTTTCCAGCATCTTCCACGAATGTGTCTTGGCTTTTTTCAGTATTCACACCATGGCCGTCCCTTTCGCTCAGTCACCCGACTTGTGAGAACAGTAACAGTCTCGGGTGAGAGAGATATGCTTTCAGCAGGGTTAGGGTTGAGTTGCGAGTCACCCATCATCACTTTCTTCCTGCTTTCTTCGCATCGCACCTCCTAGAACACCTCTCTGATGTTCGGGAGAGGTTTAGTTCCAAGGATGCGTTCTCTTACCTCGTCGAGGTTTTTGTTTAGTTCGAAAAGAAACTTGAAGATTCGTCTCTGTTCTATGATGCTTCAGAATCTCCTGGCATCCTCTGGGCATCTCCAAGCATGTTCCTCAAAAACATCAAGTTGCTGCCATTTTCGAGTAAGAAAATTATAATATTGAGTTACTATTTTTTCTTTTTGGTGCAGGTCGTGAATGCTTACTTTGATTTCAAAGATGGCGGAAGTGTTGTCGCGAATGGAGTAGAACTCACGAATTGCAACCCAGATATCATGCGCAGTCTCATAAAGGAGGAAATTTTCGCCAATCTCAGTGGTCATTGAGTTCACTAACCAAGACATAACAAGATTGTTCTCAACTTTCCATATCCGAGCATTTGGATTATTCGCGGGAGGAGGTGAGAGCTCTTCAATGAGATATTCTTCTCGGCCTTTCCCTCGGATGAACATTAACACCAAGGACGACCATTGAAGATAGTAACTACCATTTAATCGATGGTCAGTAACGAAAGATGGAGCCTAATCAACAAGAGCATGGTTGTCAGGCACCAGAAGGTAAGAGCCCAAAAGAACTTTGGGCGAAGAAGGGGACTGCTCATCCATTGCCTATTGAATGCAAGAGGGATGCTGAAGAATTTGGATCAGGCTTGCTCTGATACCATGAAGAATTTGAGAACAAGAAATAACTCCTCTTTCTTCTCACTCTTTATTCATCGATAATCAACAACATTTTATAGGTAAAAGAAGGAAGAAAAAGACAAAAAACTAACAAACTTCCCTAGTAGAAGAGAAAAAACAGCACAATTTGGCAGTAACCATTTTGTTATATTGTCAGGTTGTAAAAGACAGGAAAAAAAAAGAAAATACTGAAAATAATTCTACAGTAACAATTCAAACTAAAATAGACTCTATTCAAACCATCTCAAATGTGTTGTTTGTTCCAGATCTGAAGACAAATTTATTGAGTGTTGGTCAGCTTCAAGAGAAGGGATATGAAATTACCATCAAAGATGGAGTTTGTCGTATTCAAGATGCAAAATTGGACTTAATTGCCCAAGTTAACATGTCAGCAAATCGACTATTTCTGCTCTATCTCAACAACGCTACTCATTCATGTTTCTCAGCAAACTTGAAAGATACAAGATGGTTATGGCACTACGGCTATGGCCACCTAAATTTTGGTGGATTAAAGACATTGCAGCAAAAAAATATGGTAACCGGTCTTCCTCAAATTTCATCTCAGCATCAAATTTGTGAAGAATCTGTTGTTAGTAAACAATAACGTAAGCCATTTCCACAAGGAAAGTCATGGAGAGAAAAGAACATGCTAGAGCTGATTCACTCCAATATATGCGGACCCATAAATCCGACGTCAAATGGTAGTAAATATTATTTTATAACTTTCATTGATGACTTTAGTGAAAAAATATGGGTTTACTTTTTGGAGAAGAAATCTGAAACACTTTCAGTTTTTAAAAGTTTCAAGATGTTAGTAGAAAAAAAAGCAAACAAGTCTATAAAAACCATCCGCAGTGATCGTAGTGGAGAATATACTTCACAAAAATTTATGAATTTTTGTGAAAATCACGGGATCCAAAGGCAACTTACGGCAGCCTATTCACCGCAGCAGAATGGCATTTCAGAGAGGAAAAATCAGACAATCCCAAACATGGTGCGGACTATTTTGGTGAAGAGTGGCATCTCAAATTTTTTTTTGCCCGAAGCAGTAAATTGGAGTATACATATACTGAATAGAAGCCCTACTTTGGCTGTTCAAAACATGACACCTGAAGAAGCATGGAGCGGATATAAACCAAATGTTGATCACTTTAGAATTTTTGGTTGCATAGGATACGCTCATGTTACAGATCAAAAAAGAAGAAAACTTGATGACAAAGGAGCAAAATGCATCTTTCTTGGTGTGAGTGAACACTCAAAAGCATACAAATTGTACAATCCTATCACCAAGAAAATTGTCATTAGTCGTGATGTAATATTTGATGAAGATCAGTTCTGGACATGGGAAGAGAATCACACTACGCAACAAATTCCAGCTGATTTTGATGGAGAAAACGAAAATAATATGCACCAGCCTTGGGAACCACTCAACCTGCTGAAAGAGAACTCCGTTCAGTTAATGAAAGCAGTCCAACAGCTGAAAGTAGCGAAGAAGCAAGAGCCCAATGAGTTAGAAGAAGACCCACGTGTATATTTTGAAGATGCTATAAAAGATTCAAAATGGCAACAAGCTATGTGATTCCGAAATTGAACCCATAGAAAAGAATGATACATGGGAATTGATGGAACTATCAAAAGGGCAAAAAATTATTGGCGTAAAGTGGGTGTATAAGACAAAACTAAAGGAGAATGGTGAAGTTGACCGATAAAAGGTACAGTTGGTTCCTAAAGGATACAAACAAGAGTTCGGAGTTGATTACAAAGAAGTTTTTGCTTCTGTAGCAAGACATGACACAATCAGATTGTTAATTGCATTAGCAGCTCGTAACTCATGGCCTATCTTTCAGCTGGAAGTAAAATCAGCATTCTTGCATGGCAAATTGGAAGAAAAGGTATTTATCGATCAACCTCCTAGATATATTAAGCTTGGAAATGAGCATAAAGTGTATAAATTGAACAAGGCGCTTTATGGATTAAAACAAGTCCCACGTACTTGGTATAATCGTATTGAAGCTTACTTTTTAAAAGAAGGATTTAAAAAATACGCTTATGAACACATACTTTTCGTTAAGTGTTGTGGTGGTGAAAAAATGTTGATTGTCCTATTATATGTTGATGATCTCATATTCATAGGGAATGATAATTCAATATGTGAAGATTTTAAGAGATCCATGATGATAGAATTTGACATGTCTGATTTGGGTCTAATGCATTACTTTCTTGGCATAGAAGTGGTGCAATTTGCTGATGAGATTTTTATTTCACAAAAAAAATATGTTGGAGAAATTTTAGACAGGTTTCAGATGAAGAATTGTAATCCAACTAGCACACCAACTGAAATGGGACTCAAGCTTGTTAAAGATCCAGGAGGTAGAAAGATAAACAGCACTCTCTATAAAATTTCTCCAACATGAGATGAAGAATTGCAATCCAACTAGCACACCAACTGAAATGGGACTCAAGCTTGTTAAAGATCCAGGAGGTAGAAAGATAGACAGCACACTCTATAAATAAATTGTGGGAAGTTTGATGTATCTCAAGGCAACTAGACCGGATGTAACGCATGCTGTAAGCCTTATTAATAGATATATGGAATGCCCAAAGGAAAGTCATTTAACGGCTGCTAAAAGAATCATGCGCTATTTAAAAGGTACCTCTCACTATGGGCTGCTCTACAAAAAGGGAAAATGATCGGATTTAATAAGTTTTACAGATAATGACTATGCTGGAGATCATGATGATTGTAAAAGCACTTCAGGATATATTTTTCCATTGGGTTCAGGAGCTGTTTCATGGTCTTCAAAAAAACAATCAATTGTTACTTTATCAACAACTGAATCAGAATATGTTGCCGCAACTTCATGTGCATGTCAAGCTATTTGCGACGGAAAGTTCTTAAACAACTTCATTTCAAGCAAGAGGGAGCCACCACAATTTTCTGTGACAATAGTTCAACAATTAAACTCTCAAGAAATCTTGTTTTACATGGTCGAAGTAAGCATGCACAAAAAGGGTCTTGTTCATTGCAGAAGCGAAGATCAAGTGGCTGATATATGCACAAAGCCTCTTAAAGTGGCCGTTTTTGAAAAACTCAGGAAGCTACTTGGTGTCTGTACCTTGGAGAGATCTGATTGAAAAAGGGTCCTCTGCTATGAGGGTTATCAAACATTCAGTTTAAGGGAGGCATTGTTGGAGTTATCTACTTTATTTTTGACTTGGTCAAATAACACCTGTTCCTATTCTATAGGACTTGTTAGTAAAATTCTAAAGTTTGTTAGTGCTTTACCGAGTCTTATGTTTGTTTACTTTATCCCTCTTTTTTAGCAGATAGATGTTAGTTATTAACTCTATAAATAGAGCACCTGATTGTAACGTTAAGCAGCAGTAGAATAAAAGGTTCAACTCCATTTTGATCGTAATAACACTTGCTCCATTTTATTCTTAGTTTACAGTAACATCTAATTCTAATCTAATACATAATATATAAATAATAAATTAGGTGATTTCAATTTTTGGAAAAATATACGCTCAAATATAAGAGTAAACTAGTGAATGTAATTTAAACCTGATTGGCAAGAGAGCCATGAACTGGTGGAGTTGCAAAAAACTTCATATCAGGGCAGAGATTGTATCGACCTTCCTTGCAAATATGGCATCGCGAGCAACTGATACTGGGTTCTAATGCTACTCGATCATTGGAAACCAGATGCTTAACTTCACTTCCAACCTCCTCAATGATCCCAGCACACTCATGCCCAATCACCATTGGTTCTTTCACTTCAAAATGTGCAAGTCTCAAGGTCTAATAGGATTTAAAATTTAGAAAACATAAGAAAACATTGAAGAAGGGGGATTTGCTATATTACAGATGTAAATTTGGTGCTTTCCTTTGTTAAATTAAATGATGATTAACTTATTAATTTATTTATAACACATTTGAATTTGTAAGCCAAAGAAAGCCCTATAATCTATATGTCTAAGCAAGTGAAGCTAAAAAAGATAGATTAAATGTTTAGAGTTTCTTCAATTTAATTTTCATATGGGAAGATTAATTCAAAATACTAAATCAGAAACAGAAACAAATAGCTCTGGGTGGAAATTACCTTGAGGAAGTGAACATCACTTCCACATATACCAACTGCTTTCATCCTAATTCTTGCATCATAAGGTCCTACAAATCCACAACAGTACTTATGATTCAGAATAAAGCCATTAAAACTCAATTAAATCAAACAAACTCACTAGAAAAGAAAAGAAAAAAAAAAGAGCTGTACTGGGCATATATGTATATGTATAGGAATATGTGCTGTGAAGGAACAGTGAAAGTACCAAGAGCTGGAAGCTTGAAAGGTTGGATCTTGAGGGTATTGATCCCAATAAGCCAAGCAGCCATGTTTTCCTCTTCATCTCCATGAGACTTCCCTCTACCCATTTGCTTTCCTTTTGCAGACTGTACTAAGACTCTGCTTCAAGTAAGTTATGGCAAAACTATACGTAAAAGATCAGATATATAGTATATAAGCTATATAGCAGCAACAGGTGGATGGTTAAATGGGCACTTGTTATTACAAGAAAAAGATTTCTCTTATTTTCGGCTGAGTTTCTAAACCAATAACTTCACAATAAATATCCACACATTCTCCCATTACAGATAATATTAGAATTATACAAACTATAAAATGATAATGATGTAACCTTATCTTACATGGAAATGTCTTCTTATGCATTAGAAAATATATATATAGTGATATTTATATCTGAAAAAAATTAATAATTATGATTGAAAAATGTTTAATTATTATTTTTTGACTGAATAGTTTGTATTTTCTTTTTTTTTATACGACAAAAAATATTATAAATTTAATTTATATGTATATTTTGCGTATATTTTTTAAAGACATTGTGTTATTATTAATATATATATATATCATCTAATTAATGAAGTATATAAATTTTTATTTAAAAATATGATTAAGAAATACTTAATGGTGAAAATAAACCCATACCCTATAATAATCTTTTTAGGAAAAAAAGAATATAAAGCAAAACATATAGTAGAAATATTTGCAGTAAGTAAATATGAGTGCTGAAGAAAGAAATATGAGATAGTATGTTGTATAACTATTATTAAATTATTTAAATTATAATATATATAGACAAGAAGTTGGAAAAAAAAAATCAAACAAACACATTACAGCAGAACGTAGTTGAGAGAAAGAGAAATGATCCATGGGGATGACGAAAAGAAGAAGAAGAAGAAGAAGAAGAAAAGAACACGGCAGCTTGGCTTCTTGGGATCAAAACCCTCAAGATTCAACCTTACCCTCTCCCTCCTCTTGGTAAAATTTCGTTATCTCATTCTCCCATTAATGTTTAAATGTGTTTGTATATGTATATTCACACAAACACACACTTCAAACATTCTAAGAAAGAGAAAAAAACAAGAATTTCCCGGTTGAGTATGTTATCCACATGCCTGATTTGACTTGCAAGCCTTGGTTTTATGTGGACTTGTTTTTGGTACTTTCAAATACATGTAGGTAGCCATGTGTGGCAATAGCCAGACAAGATAAGACCAAACCGTAACCTTTGTTTTTCTGTGGAATGGAAATAGCAACAAAATTGGGAAAAATCCCAAAAGGAATGTTACGGAACTTTCAAGGGTTCATCACAAGGAAAGAAGATTTCTTTCTCTTTGCATCCTTGTAGAAAAAGGACCAGAACTGGCATAGAATTTCAAATAATTTTTCGGTACCGAAGAAAGAAGAACTTATGATTTGCAAGGGAATAAGAAATCAGCCTGCCTAACTACTGCTTGTGCTTGCAGTAACTGTGAATTGGTTTAATAATTCTGTCTGTTGGGATGTGTATTTACTCATCCTGTTAGATAATAAATCATAATCAAAATTTCGGAAAAGCTTGAGTTATTAGAAAATGGGTGAATTTTAACACTCTCTCTCATAGGCAAGTTGAATTGCTTGTGTACCAAACAAAGGGCAATTCTAATTGTGCTTGGTCAAATTATTGGGCAATTAGAATTGCATATGCACCGACATAAAAGGGAAGACTCAAAACGAGGATTTTTAAGTTCTAATATATTAAGTATAAATTTTAAGAAATTTTCCTATTAGTTAGGTTGTATCTTAACAAGTTCTACTAGACTTGACTTGGAAATATTGGGGAAAATTAATACTTAGTAGTTGCATCCTGTCTCTTTTAGGTTGTTTAATTAATCATGTGTTGTTGCCATAGGCCCTCATGATGTTAGAGACATCTAAAGGCTCTTGGTATATGCCGAAGCGATGTTCGGCACTTCAAGGTGAAAATGTTCTCTACTACTTTCAACAATTATGTATTAATGTTAAGATGTAGCAATTATGCCACAGTTTTTGTGAATTGTTTTGATTAGACAATGAGATATGCAACTTTTATAGTGAAAAAGCCCGTGGTCATCATCCACGAGTGTGCTAGGATCATCAAAGAAGTAGGAAGTGAAGTCGAGTCCTTGGTTATGGGTGAATGCATAGTCTTGGAGTCCGGCATCAGTTGTAATACTCGAACTCGGAATTTAGTTCGAGATCAATTTTAGCATTTATAAAAATAATTAAAAAGTATTTTTAAATTAAATTAAATTAATTTTATTAAATTAAATTAATTTAAAAATAGGTTAGGGACGTAATTGAAAATTATTTTGAAGAAAATGGATGCAAATTTGAGTTCGGATGGTGTTTTTAAAAGAAAAATTAGAAATAGAGGGTCAAAATATAAAAAAAAAAATTCGGCAATGTGGAACGGCTCAGTCAGTAGCCTCGACGAACCAGAGCACGCTACGTGGCAAAGCATGCTGACGTCAGCGCCATGCAGGAGACCACACGGGCAATCTTCGTGCCAAGCGATCCAACGACCCTGATTCGATCCTGCGCGTGTGAACGGCTTAGATGCGTTCCTTCCTTAAGCGCGATCGGAGGAACGAGATCAATCGCGATGAATAATTCAGATTCGCCCATGTAATTGACCTAAATAGGCAATAATCAGATGACTCTCCTCGCTCCATGTCGACACAGATGGACGATCTAGATCGACGCGAGGTGAGTATATAAACATTGTGTCGTAGGGGAACCCAAACCCTAACCGCCAGCCGACGTTGGAGAAGAAGGTCGACCGCCGACCATCGCCGCACCGGAGCCACTGCGATCGCCAAAAAAGATAAAATTTTCTCCTACCCGCTCAGGATTCGATTTCGAGCCTCCTTATGGCCATATCGGAGTAAGAGAGACGGTGAGTGAGCTGAAACCTGTAGGCAAAGCCTGATGAAGCCGCCGCAATCGAAACCCAAAATTTCCTCTGATGAGCCCCTTTCTGTTTCTCGTTTCACGCAATTTTTTGACAATTGTGTTCACCATCCTTTTATGTGCAGGTTAGTCGAAGAAGAAACCCCAGCTGCGAAGGAGAACCGGCAGAGCCGCCACACTTGGAGACCCTTCCCCCTTCTGGTAGGTTCGATTTTTTTGTGATTTTAAGCCAACTAGGCCTCCTAACGTGTTTTTCCACAGGGTTATGTGTAAAACCAGTCAAAACTGGCCTGACCGAGGTGAACCGCTATCATGGACGGCGTCGAAGCACGGCGACGGTGCCGTGCTGGAATCCTAAAATTGGCCGAAAATAGTTTTTGATACCAATTTTGGGTCATGCAAGAAAGAACCAAATGAACTAGATAATTGAGCAGAAGATAATCGAAAATTAAATCTGATTCATTTGGTCCCTTCTTGCTCGATTTATCCAGTTATCTGATTACTCGGTTATTGGTTATGATAAATTAAATCGTTTACTTAAATGTCGTTTAAATTGATCAGTGAATATGACATGAGACGTTAGCATGCACTTGGTGTTCGTTTTGTTGATGGAGATCTTTATGTGAAAGGCTTACTAGATATCTTGGGAAAGCCCAATACATAGGGAACCCTACCGTGAACGTTACTTCAGTTGAACGGGGTTGGGAAGTCCATATCGGAAGGGTTTGAGAGATATGATTTACCTTTATACCGGACAGGGTATTGAAACGATGGAATATTTGGCACCCATTATAGGATAAGGTATAGGGATGACCTGTTAATTGATAAAATTAGATATTTAGTTCACACGTATGAGAATATCTCTATGGACCCTCAGGGGTACCAATAAGCAGGTAAAAAAAAAGAATGGTGATCCTATGAATGAAGTTAAAATATTATTTAGTTATTTTTCCTCATTGGTTGATTTTGGAAAAAACGTAACGGTATGTATCAAATAAAAATTTTTGAAGTTAAATGTATTTATTTAAAGTAAGGACTCAATTAGTTGTTTTCTGATTTTATCAACATTCGATTTTTCGTATATATGATTAATGTGATATTCTTACTGGGTTAGTGTAACTCACCATTTCATTAACAATTTTAGATCAAAAAAATTAAGATCCAGATCCCGATCAGTAAGATGGTTGTGAGTAGTTCACCACTCAGACTCTCTTCAAGTGATAGTGAAGGTTGTCTTACGATGCTTATTTATTCTTTTTTTTAATTGCCGTTTGTCTTTTAGAGACATTCTTATACCTCTATTGGACATTCTAAATTATTGTGTAATGAATGTAAACTCTAACTTTATATCTGCTTCCGCATTTAAATTATAAATTTATTTCCTTTAAGTTCCGGACCTTTACAGTTGGTATCAGAGCCGCGTTCCTCAGAGCCATTCCTTACACAAAGATTTAAAAACACCAAATACAAACTATCGCTCAACCCTTCCTCATGAAATGCAGGTACAAAGATATGAGGAGAGGAAGGTCCCCACTAAACCGAGCAGCTCAGGATTGTTCTCTTCGAGAGGATGTTGACCGACTCTTTGAGATGCTAGAGAGACTCATCTCTACCTAACAAGCTTGGGAGGAAAGGAGGGAGCTGTCTGACCCTCCCCTGCTGTCACAATTTGAGTCATCCTTGCAGCGGGAAGATCTAGAGCCACTCCGGTATAACTCTGCTCCTCTACTATATCATCCGACACTGCCACAATACTATTTGGTGTCTCCACCATATCATCCGGCACTGCCATAGGACCATCCAGTCCCTCCATAATATAATCTGGTTCCTCTTCTATAGGACCCAGTTCCACCCATAATAGACCCAAGTTATATTGAAAGGTGCAAAAGACTAAACTTATCTATCTTTGCAGGGACCCAAGTATTGGTTAGCTGAGACAAAGAAGGTCTTCACGACTCTTAGGATGATTCATGAACAGAAGGTCGTATTTGCCACCTACATGCTCGTAGGTGAGGCAGGTCACTGGTGGTAGTTCAAGCAAGCCACCCTGCCTGTTCCAGTCACTTGGGAATAGTTCATGATAGCCTTCAATACAGAATACCTCTCCGAGTACCTTCGGTATTTGAAGGAAATAGAGTTTGTACACCTAGTCCAAGGTGATATGACTGTGTTAGAGTATACCTGAAGGTTTTTAGAGTTGAGCCAGTTTTTTTCTGAGAGCATGATGGATGAAGGCAGGAAGGCAAAGAAGTTCGAGTGAGGCCTTCGTCTTGAGATCATATAGCAACTGTACGTATTTAAGCTCAATAATTACTCACCTGTTTTACCTAATGTACATCTAGTGAAGAGGAACATTCGCATCTTTCCTCCAGCAGTGGGAAATCCTAAACCCTTAGTTTCATACCACAAACCAACACCCACTGCACCAGTTCAGCAAAACAAGATGCCTAGGCCAGTGACTTAAACTCTTCCTCAAGATCCAATAATATGACGTGGTAGGACTTGTCAGTACTGTGACAAGGATCATGGAGACTAACCCTGCTATCGTCTCAATAATACTTACCACATATGTGAGAGTGTCCAACACTACGCAAGAGAGTACCCACAAAATCAGAACTAGTCCAGACCTCATGTACAGGGCAGAGCTTACAACCTCACTTAGTAGGATGCTAAAGCTAACCCAGACGTGATACAGGGTATGTACACTATCTATAATCACCTTGCACATGTTTTGATTGATATTGGTGCTTCACATTCGTTTATCTCACATGCTTTTGCACCAAACTTGAATGTATTATCTTAAAAACTTTATTTGGTGTTGTTTGTGTCTACTCCTAGGAGTAGGACACTACTAGGGGAGGTTATATACAAAACTTGTATCATAAACGTAGTAGATAGGAAATTGAGTGTGGACCTAATAGAGATTGACATGGAGGACTTTGATATAATTCTATAAATGAACTGGTTAACGGCGTATCACGCCACCGTAGATTATTTCCACAAGAAACTTGTATTCAACCCTCCTAATAAAGAGTCATTTATAAGTTAATAAAAATTTTAAATAATATTTCCTCATAAAAATTTTAAATAATATTTTCTCATAAAAATTTTCTTATTACATAGTGCTTTAACTTAGTTATCTTCTCTACATTAGGCAAACTTAAGAAAAAAATTTGCATTTAAGAGATCCTAGTAGTTTGAAACTTTTTAGATGTATTTTCTGATGAACTACCCGGATTGCCAGTAGACAGAAAAGTTAAGTTCACCATAGATCTTCACTATGACACCTAGCCTATTTTGGTTGTCCCTTACCGTATGAGTCATGTTGAAATGGAAGAACTAAGAAAACATATCAATAAATTACATGATAGTGGATTCATCTGACATAGTGTGTCTCATTGGAGTGCTGGAGTCACATTTGCAAGGAAATGGGATGAGACGTTAAGATTATGTATTGACTATAGGGGATTGAACAAGGTCACGATCAAAAACAAGTACCCCATCCTTAAGATTGATGACTTTTTTGACTAGTTGCAGGGTGCCCAAGTTTTTTCTAAAATAGATTTGCGTTTAGATTACCATCAGGTAAAGATCATGGCAGAGGACATTCTCAAGATAGCCTTCAGAACTACGCATGGACACTATGAGTTCCTGGTCATGCCATTTGGACTAATTAACACACAATCTATTTT